AGGTCATGATCTCACAGTTTGTGAGTTTGAGCCCCACATGGGGCTCCTCTCTGACAGTGCAGAGCCTGCTTAGGATTCTCTCCCTCTCTCTCTGCTCCTCCCCTGCTCTCTCTCAAAATAAATAATTAAAAAAAAAAAAAAAGGCCTAGACTGAGAGAGAGAGAGTCAGAATGAAGGACTGCTGATCAATCACAGGTCCCGCCACCAGTTACAAGTGAGTCATTCTGCCTTTATTGCTTTGCCAACTATCAGCTTTCATATCCAAATGGTCCGCCTCTCCCATAATGCTATGCCAAAGCTAATCCACCATCCACAAGGCATTCTATTTCCTGCCAGAGACAGGCTTGTTCGGGTGGGTCTTAGTCCCTTCTGTGTCTCTGGAAATGCTGCCAGTCTCTGGGGCGGAGGCATAGAGTGAAGGGAGGTGAAGTGATCTTGACCTTACAAGAGAGCCCCTGTGACCTTCACTGCTCTTTAATGAACTGAGCTGACCGGCACAGGGGCACTTAATCCTTTATGTGCCATGGCTCCCAGTGGCAAGCTGGTAAAGCCTATAGACAACTTCTCAGAATAATGTTTTAAATACATAAAATTACAAAAGAAAACAATTATACTGTTATGGTCATCAAACATTTAAGTAATGTACCAGAGTAACATGTGTACTCCTTTAGCAATGCTTTATTTCTAAAAAAAAAAAAAAAAAAAAAAAAATTTAAGGTTTATTCTTGAGGCAGAGAGTATGAGCAGGAGAGGGGCAGAGAGACAGAGGGAGACAGAGAATTCAAAGTAGGCTTGGCACTGACAGCAGAGAGCCCCATGTGGGGCTCAAACTCACGAACCGTGAGATTATGACCCGAGCCCAAGTTGGACACTCAGCTGTCCGAGCCACCCAGGCACCCCAATCAATGCTTTACATACTAAGACCTGATGAAGGGTCAAAAAGCTACTGTCATTTCAAAGAGTGATGGGATGGGGCGCCTGGGTGGCTCAGTCGGTTAAGCATCCAACTTCGGTTCAGGTCATGATCTCGTGGTCCGTGAGTTCGAGCCCCGCATTGGGCTCTGTGCTGACAGCTCGGAGCCTGGAGCCTGCTTCGGATTCTGTGTTTCTTCCTCTCTCTGCCTCTCACCTGCTCATGCTCTGTCTCTCTCTGTCTCTCAATAATAAAGAAAAACGGTAAAAAAAAAAAAATTTTTTTAAAGAAAAAAACAAAGAGTGATGGGAGATATTTTGAGATGTCTGCAATAACTATCAGGTGATGTGAAAAGATCTGTGATGTCAATGGTGACAAAGTCACAATGCTAATACCACTGCAGTCCAGTTGCCTGCACTCTTAACAGAAGGAAAAGCTAGATTTCAAAGAAAGGTTAAATAAAATAGAGATATGATTTCTTCCCGTTCAAATTCATGAACTAGAATAAAGGAAATAAAGGAGTGTCTGATGATAATAGTAACAGGAACTATACTAACAAAGCACCATCTCCTACGAGAACAACAGCAGACACGGCTGCCATGTATGGAGACTCTCCTCTATACGAGGCTCTGGAATAAGTGCTTTCTGCATTTCATTTCCCTTCATTCTCACTATGAGGAAGGCATCGTTTTGCCCACTTAACAGATGAGGAAACTGAGGCTTAGGGATTTTAGGGAACTTGCCCAGGATCACAAGTGATAAGCAGCCAAGAATAGGAGTCAGGCTGTGGCTGTCTGTCAGCCAAGCCCACATTCACCAAGAGTCCTTGAGAAAAAGGGGTGTGGAGGTGGGGAAAGAGAGAGAGATGAATGCCCAGAAGCACCGTTTCCTTTTTCTCATCCATACATAGTTCCTGTTGGTGTGTAATGGGGAGATAGGTGCCAGAGAGGATAGGAGCCTGTCGATCATGGACACCATCAAAAATCTTCTCAAAAACACTAAAAAGGAAGGGCCACGAAGGAGGACCAGCTCTATAAAGTCTCTATAAGTAATACAGCATGGTAATGGCACATGAATAGACAGACAGATCACCTGAACCTGGGTGGGCCCTACTCTCCATGCAGCCACCAACGTGATTCATAAGCAGGTACTACCCCTGACTGAATCACACACACTGGTGTCTCCACAAGAAGACTCTGCCAGGTTGGAGGGAGGAAGGAGAACTAATTTTTCAAAATGCTGTTCAAACAGGATCTGTTTCTGTTTAGGTCATCAGGTAAGACTTGCACATCAATCAGTAAGTCACAAGACCAGACTAAGCTTAATTTAATGCAACCCAGGATTGTATTGGCTTTCTTCATGGTCACATTACATAGGTGACTCAAACTGGATTGATTTTCAAGTATAATCTCTCCACCTTTGTTGTACATATTGCTGCTAAGCCAAGTCACATCCTGACAGTGTGCCATTGGTGTTTTGGACGCAAATACAGTATCTTTCATTTATCCCCATTAAATTTAACTCTATGGCCATGTCATATCATGCAAACCCTTGGCTGTCCATTTTTGCTTTTTGTTTTTTTGATTTTTTTATTAATGAGCATATCCTGGTGAACACTGCTTCTTCTCCTTGAAACTAGTATTTCAACAATCTCATTTATTTATTTATTTATTTATTTATTTATTTATTTATTTTAATGTTTATTTATTTTTGAGAGAGACAGACACAGAGTGTGAGTGGGGCAGGGGCAGAGAGAAAGAGAGACGGAATCCGGAGCAGGCTCCAGGCTCTGAGCAAGTGGTCAGCACAGAGCCTGATGCGGGGCTAGAACTCACAAACCGCGAGATCATGACCTGAGCCGAAGTCAGTCGCCCAACCAACTGAGCCACCCAGGCACCCCTTAACAATCTGTTCTAGAACCTGATGTGAGATAACCAGGAAAGTACACAGCTTGCAGAATTTGCTTTCTTTCTTCTTAAAAAACCAGATGGGCATTTGCCTGTCTTTCATCTTCTCTCCCACATCCACAATTTGTCATAATTCTCTCAACTCTGGAATGTCATTTCTTTAGGCCAACAAAATGGACAAGTTTGAACACCTGCACTTTCACTCATCTTAAATGTCTGTTTCCTTTTTATCAGTGCTTGTTCGATCCTTTTCAGTTCAAGGATCGTTCTACTTTATGTATTCAATGTATGTGGGATACTGACTATGTTCTAGGCACTGAAAATTCAAAGAAAAATATGTTCCCTGACTTTTGGGAAGCTTTCAGCTTTTTGGAGAAAATGAAAGTACAAATCGATAAACAATAATATGTGGTAATTAGAAGTCAAAACAGGTTATATTATAAAGAGAATCTATTGACTCCTGTAACTGTAAAGTCTTGTCATGTAACAGGACAGGCTTCAGGCATGGTTTGATTAGGGCTCCACTAGTGGTTTGCTGGAAAGTGTGTACAACAACTAATTGACTCTCTGGAGAACAAAGCCCTGACTTACAGTGTTTGCCGATTTCCATGTTGTAAATACCCCCACCATGGCCTATTTCAAGCTAAGAGTATAAAATCACGAAACACAGAATTGGAAAGAGAGGTGCACAATCACCTGTGGCCTGATGACTGATGTAGCTCCAGTCCACTATTACCACCCTCATTTCTCTGTAAGTTTCTCCATTCTTCCATGGTCTATATGCTGGTTTTATCCTGATGATGCAACCAGCAGCTGAGACTATACACTTTCTTCCGGCATCTAATGGAGGAGAACATGCTTCTCTACTCTTAAGTACCAAAAAATTCCTGAGCTCCCTGAAATAATCACTGTACCCAAAGAACACTCCCAACTGGGCTGGCCTTGAGCAATGTGTTTAAATAAGTAATAGTAACTGCTTTGCAAGGCTCTCCATTTCACCTACCAAGTGCTCCTTGTTGGATAGAATTGGCACCAAAATCATGTCTTCTAGAAGGTGAAATTATCAGTAGGACGAGAAAATAGCTTATTCACATTTGTCCATTTTAGTGGCTACACCAACCAGATTTTCCTTTCAGGACTGAAACTCCCATCCTCCACCGCTGGGATGGGTGATTGTTGATGGTTCATAAGTGAGTTCCTCTACAGGCATTGCTCTAGCCAATAGGAGCTGCTTGCCCCTTTTGGGAAGAAACTGCTGGTCAATGGGCAGGTACAAAAGCCTCGCCCTGCCTCAATTCAGACCTCTCTGAAGGGATATCCCAGCTCCAGAGCTCCCCTGGAGGATCAGATGAGGCCTTTACTGCAACCGCACAGCAGGTCAACTTTCCCTACTGCTCCATTGGATTTCCCTCTCTGTTAACATCCTTCCTGTGAGCCTTCCCCACTAACTCTCTTGCATGCAAATCTCTGTGTCTATTTCCAGGCAACATCATCTGCAATGCCCATCCCTGAACCAGTCACTGGGTTGTTTTACACAAATCAAGTCTCATCACTGAAGCTGGAGGTGGGGTCAGTCCCACTGACATTCCATGCTTGCCCCACTGTTTGGGGGGAGGAGGATTTGGATGGACAGTACTATCTGTGTCACAATACAACATGCTGAGTGATGTAAAAGACACACAAACAATATCAAAGTCCAATAACTGTTGTACTGTAGGTGCTAAGAAAAAGGAAAGCAGCCCCTGACACCCACAAATAATCACAGTTAGACCCCAATAGTATTACAAGCTGGTCTGACACTCATAGCCAGGCCATCTTGTTCTCCAGTTGGACATAAATAATCTCATAGTACGCCAACCTCAGATAAACTTACTCTGAACCATGATAAAGAACAACAAAACAAGTTCGCAGTAAATTTGTAATTTGTAAATTTTTACAAATTTGTAATTTATAATTTTGTCTATGCCAAGACAAAAACAAGGTCACTGTGGTACCCATAAAACACCAAAGCATAGAAACTGCCCTTTGCTCTTTGGTGGTTTCCAATCTAGAGAAGATTTTTGAGTTAATAGACCCTCCCCAAATCACCCAACCAAAGCCCAAATCTTAAAAGTTCTCTGTGACACTCTGTTATGCCCCATGGAGTATGTTTTCCCTCCATCAATGAGTAATAAACCTACCTTGTCTCATTGTTGGTGTGTTCCTGGTGGTCTTTGGCTGAAGGGCACTGACAGTATTCAATCAGCATGTGGGGATGAGTAACTCCTATTTCAGGGGAGCCTTCACAGAGGAGGTGAACTTTGAGCTGGTTCTTGAAGGATGATTGGGCTTTTCTAGGCAAGCAGGGTCAGAAAGAAGCCTTGTCCCAGGCAAAGGTTGGCAGTACAAAAATGAGGATGAGGAGTCCACGTGGGTGGGATATGGGGTGAACTGGGAGGGTACTGGGACCAAATGTGCAGATCCTTGTAGGTCCACTTAATCCTGTCAACAAAGAGGACAGAAGTTGGAGGTAAAGAGCTCTAAATTTGAAATCTGGTTGAAAGAATAATTACCCGAGTAACCATAATTTTTTTTTCCTAGCCCTTTTTCCTTTTTTTTTTTTTTTTAATATGGAGTGGCGTAGGAAGAGAGGGAAAGACACTTGATTTTATTAAATCAAAATTGCATATTTTGAGTTTCTCCAGTTTTCTTAATCTTAAATTTAAGGCATAGGTCTGGCAACACCAAGCCCTTTACTCCCTAGTTATCATGAATTCTGAGAAGATCTAAAAAATTGGGGCCAGTGGTGTAAGTCCTGGTATGAATCCAAAAGCCAAGAACCAGGAGCACAAATGTCTGAGGGCAGGAGAAGGTGAACGTCTCAGCTCAACAGAAGAGCAAATTTGCCCTTGCTTTTCGCTCTATGAGGGCACTCAATGGATTGGATGATGCCCATTTGCATAGGGTAAAGTGATCTTATTCAGTCTCCTGATTCAAATGCTAATCTCTTCCAGAGACACTTTCACAGATACAACCAAAAAATAATGTTTTACCAGCTATCTAGACACCTTTTAGCCCAGTCAAGTTGGCATATAAAATTAATCATCACCCCTTGGTAACTGGTTGTAAGAGTACAGTTCTATATAAATGTTTGTTAATTACAGGTCTTTAGAAAATGACAGGTTTCTGATAAACTGAAGCAGACTGAAATGCCCCCAGTTTTATAAGTCCTCCCTGGTGCTACCCTGGATCGCAATTATAGAGAATTTTGTGTATATTTGGGAAATCCATGTTTTCATATTTTTACTACATGTGTATTGATAAATCATTTAAGTATTATTTTGTGCTTTTAGACATAAGTAGTATCACAATGTGTATCATTTTGTGATGTCTTTTTTTAACTCAGTATTATGTTTTGGGGTCCAGACTTTTTGTTAATATATGCAGAACTCTTAGTGCCAGTAAACATGTGAGTATTAACCATTATCTTCATAATTATTAATATGAGGCTTTATATCATTCCTTGTAGTCACTTTATAGTAATGAGCACTTTATTATACTACATTTTATTTATTCATTCTTCTATTGGTGAATATTTAGGTTATTTCCAATTTTCTGCAATTATAAACAAACAATACCCCATAGAATATCCTTAAGCAAGTCATGTTCATGTGTTCAAGAGTTTGTACTTACTTAAAATGGGTTGTAAAGAGAATGTATTTTAAGTTTTGTTAGCTATTGTCAAAGTGCTCCCCAAAATGTCTGTAACCATTGGTTTTCATAATCAATGTATGAGAATCCCTACTTTTCTAGATCTTTGCCAAACACTGTGTCAGATTTTTCAATCTATTCACTAATTTTTTTTAGTTCCTGTTCACTAATAAGTGAGACGGAACTTTTTTTCCCTACATTTATCGACCATTTAGACCCTTAACCTTTTCCAGGGTCACAGAACTCCTTGAGAATCTCCCTTAGAAAAACACACCTGTGGGGCCCCTGGGTGGCTCAGTTGGTTGAGCGGCTGACTTCGGGTCAGGTCATGATCTCACGGTTGTGAGTTCAAGCCCCGCATCAGGCTCTGTGCTGACAGCTCAGAGCCAGGTGCCTGTTTTGGATTCTGTGTCTCCCTCTCTCTCTCACCCTCCTCCACTCACGCTTTGTCTCACTGTCTCTGAAAAATGAATAAACTTAAAAAAATTTTTTTTTAAAGAAAAAGAAAACCACACCTGTGCACCTGCACCATACTTTGTATACATATTGAGGGGCTTCATAAAGCCCTTAAAGACCATCCATGAACTCCTCAGAGCAGAGACTCTCCAACTGTTAATGGATATAAGAACCATCTGGGAAGTTTGTTGAAAAGAAGATTCCCATGACCCATCTTCAGGGATCCTGACTCAGGGTGTCTGGGTAGAGCCCAAAGGGTAGTTGCAGGTGATAATTATAAGAAAGACAGCTTTAAGGGTTCCTGGACTCCAAGTAAGAAATCGTATTTCCGCTTTCCAAAATTTTCCTTTTCCCATAGCTATGAAACAAAGGATAAAGTCACTAAGCTTAATATTCAAACTCTAACTTGCCTTCACACTGACGTTGTTTCTACTTTTAAATCCAGAGTTACTACTGCAGGCACACTTTGTGCCTTTCATCAAGTTGGCTAGGAGGGTGCGTGAAAGGATGAAGAAACAGGATTACATGTGATGCAAAGAAAGACACAAGGAAGGGGAAAAAATTAAGAAATTCTAAGCTATTCCAAAAATGCTACATAAAAAGCATCTCCCTACTAAATATGAACAGCTTGTGTTTGGAATGGCTTGTGTACTAATTTTAATACATGAGCAAGCTCATTTTTTCTCTGTTAGATATTTTCTTTTAAATTTATTCTTGTTGCTGTTGTTGTTGTTGTTGTTGTTAGATACTTTAAAGATCCTCTTGTGAAAAGAAGGAAATAAATTGTTTCCTCCCAGATCTAAATTCACATATGTGACTATTGTAAGAGGAAGAAAATTGATCTCCTCAACTGCAAATAAGACATATTCTGTTTAAAAACCTAGTACTTAGGAAGCCATGAACCAAAGAGCTTGCAGTGCATTTTCAGAGCAGTTAAGCATCTTTTTGGTATGAAGATAATTTTACATTGATATATTTCTCCCCTTTCTTTTTCAGGCCAGCAGTTTTCAATAGAGAGTTAATCCTTGTTTTTTTTTTTTGTTTTTTGGTTTTTTTTTGTTTTTTTTTTTTTAATTTTTTTTTTTAACGTTTATTTATTTTTTGGGACAGAGAGAGACAGAGCATGAACGGGGGAGGGGCAGAGAGAGGGAGACACAGAATCCGAAACAGGCTCCAGGCTCCGAGCCATCAGCCCAGAGCCTGACACGGGGCTCGAACTCACGGACCGCGAGATCGTGACCTGGCTGAAGTCGGACGCTTAACCGACTGCGCCACACAGGCGCCCCAATCCTTGTTTTTAACTAAGTCACACGCAAATGCATTCCTCACTGAGCTGTTCAAAGGCCAGCATCCTCTTGAACTTTCTGTAATTCGGTTTGGCAAATGATTCCAGGAACAAGAATTAGGATCTGGTTCTAGCACTTTAGAATGACTCACTAGTTAACTTTGGTCTAGTAACAATAGAAAAATGACCGTTGCTCTATCTATGAAACTGGGACAGTGATGCCAGCTGCTTGTCTCACACAAAGGGATGAAGGAGGGCCAGGCTTGTGAGATAACAGGCATCATGTGGGTGGGAAAGAGGAGGGTGCCAAGAAAGAGCCAGAAGACCACAAAGGAGGCAACCTGACACAGAACTGAAGGAAAGCTATGAGTAGGATGTTCTGTAAACAATGGGGAAAGCTAAATGAAGTCAAATCCCATCCCTTGTCCTTCTGGAGACTAGCTTTTTACTTTCATTGGTAATTCATTGGGTTCAGAGTAAAAATGATGGCCCAGGCTTTCTGAAACTTTCTGAGCTCATTATCTTGTTCATTTGGCAATATATTACTTCTCATATTATATAGATTTTCCAGTCTAGACTGTATGCTTATTAAACATGATAATTGTGATTGATATATAAGTGTACATATGTGTGTGCGTGTGTGTGTGTGTGTGTGCACGCACGCACATGCACACATTCAAAGTAAAATGCCTGGAACTCTCAATATAAACACTGTGTATGTTCAGTGAATGAATTCTTACATACAGAGTAAAACAATACACACACACACACACACACACACACACACACACACACACGCATCAGCATTTCCCCCCCAGGATTCAAGCCAGCAAAAAAAGAGCAATGGTGAGGGGGAGGTGTTGAGGAGACACTTCTACTTCCATATTCATTCCTGCCTGTATTATTTATGATCTAGATACAACTGCAGTTAATGGAGACTGAGTAGTCATGACTTAAACAAAATAGAATTATATTTCTAATATAATGTGGCTGCTCCATAGTGTCCAAACTCAAGTTCCTTCCACCTTTCTTAGGGTGTTATTCTCATCTGCATGGTCCAGGTAGCTCACCACAACATCCACATCCTGGCTCAGTTGGAAAAGAAAGGAGAGCACATCTTTCCTTGCAAGAACACATCTCTTCACAGCCCTTTGGCTAGAACTTAGTCACATGATCACATGCCTAGCTGCAAGGGAGCTTGGGAAATGTAGTCCATATTCTGGGTAGCCAAAAGTCCAACTAACAATCAGTGTCCTCTAAAGAAAAAGAAGGGAGAAATGAATATTGAGACAATCAGCCATCTCTGTCACACTGTCCAGCATTAAAAAAACAAAAGTAATAAAGATGTGGATTTCCCAAAGTTGCTAGAAAAAAAGCTCCAATGGACTCAGAAGTAGCCGGCACTTGCTGGTATCATGAGTGTACTAATCTACATACAGTCATTCCAGATGTTCATTCAGGGAAAAGATCATTCTCAACTTTGCATATTTGCCTTTGAAAAGCCTGAACCTTCTTGTATTAATTTCTGCTACTTTCCAACTTCCTTTCCTATGTCAGCTTTGGGTTTTTATACTACAGATAAAATTTTATGGTTTTTGACCTCTAGGACAGTAAAAGCCCACTTTGATTACTGTGCATACAAGACTAGAAGTGAATGCATTTGGTGTGAAATCAGGGACCTGACTACATTCAACTTGAAAAATAAGAACAAAAAGCCAGTGAGCATGTTCAGAGTGGGGATGATCAGACAATCGACTAGTCATAAAAATTAAAGCAACCATATAATAGTTAAAATCTAAGGAGCTCCCCGCTTTTTGCTAGATGGGATGCTGCCTGATTCCTGGATTGCTTAATAAAAAAAATTAGATTTTCAAATAAAAAAAATGTTTAAAATCTATTGAAGACTTACTTTCTGCCAAGTGCTTTATCTGCATTATCTTATTTAGGATGCTAAAAGAAAAAAAAAGAGTTGGGGAGGGTGGTACTACGACTATCTTCATTTTCAGCTGAGGAAACTGAGCTTGAGTGAGTAATTTGCCCATACTACCCA